ATGAATCGGGAGATCGGTGTGAATGAGGATCAGGGCGAACAGGCATTGCAGGTGCTGTATCAACAGCAGGACCGTCATCGGATGGTTCAACCGGTGCAGAAACATCACCTTCCACATCTTCTGCGGTGAAGTCGAGTTCAACCGCTGCCAAAACGGAAGTGTAAAACTGAACCACCGCAACGTCTTGTCCGGGCTCGACTATAATATCGTAGTCGGTAGGATTAAGGACGTCAACACCGGACTGAGTTGCCCCTTCATTGTACGTGTACATGGCCGGGCAAACATCGAGGCCACTGCCGCGGAGCGGCTGAAGACGGGCGGACATACCACCCGGGGGCTCAAACTCAAGATCCGTAACGACACAGGCGCGAGATTTGGCAGGTACGACAGTACGGCCCTTTGCACGCAGCGCGTGTCCATAATAGCCATTCGCAGTCTGCACGCGGCGCCCCGTGTCATCGGTGTTCGGCATACGGGTTCGAACTTTAATCTGGGTTTTGGCGGAAGAACCAATAACGAAGACCGTCTTTCCCGTCCATCGGCACGGCAGAGATCGAGCATCGGATGATCTCCATGAGTCCTGCAATGTGAACTCGGTGCCGTCAGTCATGGCCATAGTCATCCTGACATCGGTCAATGTTGCAGGATCAACGGGACAGTCTTTGACGGATGTAGGGTTGAAGCGCGCTCGGCGTTCGATCACATGAAATCGGGTGATCGTGCCAGCTGCGACATCGTGATACCAGTAATCCTTGTCATGCCGTTCGGCACCCGACTCATATTCTGAATCGTAAGCGATGTCGACAGGAGCGGCATCGCGAGAATCCTCTCGGGACATGGCATGAGACTCAGCTTCTCGGCGCTCAGCCTCGACATATCCCTCCCGTTCGGCGCGGTTCATGCTGCGCCAGGATTCTGAGTCGATAGAGTTCGGTTTTCGAGACCCTTTATATGTCCGCTCGGAACGCGGCACACTCTGACGATAAGGCAAACCCCCTTCGCCCTCCAGGATCTCTGACCCGTGAGAAGGAGGTAACTTCTTCTTGGGTGGGGCGTAGCCGTCATCAAAGAACTCAACAGTGCCGGTCCAGAGCTGCATAAGTCTCGTCTTGCCAAAGGCATACCCGGTCTCATAGATCGTAACCGGGCTTTTGTCCTTGTATTGAACATGCGATATACGCACCGTGCTCAGCTTCCATGGATCAGGCGACTCTCCTATGGAACCGGGAGTCTTACTGGGATGAACCATCGCTTTCCTTGGAACAACGACGTGATACGTCCACTTATGCACAGATGGATCATACTCCCAGTAGTCAACATCTCCTCCATGAGAGGACTCTGCTCGTAATTCAGCCTCGCGAGCCTGTCGAATATCTTCATCAGTCATTCGCGTTGACTCATCAAGGGCGAAGATTTCATCGATATCTTCGAGATCGAGCATGTCGGAGGCGTCAAGACGCTCACTCGGCTTTGGCACGTTAGAATGCATCGCGGGATCGTTGATGCATACTGATCGTGTCTGTTTGTCGTACACAGCCAGCATCGGAAACGTCCATCGCTCCTTGGGTGAGCAGTATATCTTCTTGACCTGATGGACGCTTGCACGCAATGCGTCTCGCTTGAAGTCTTCAAGGTCGGCGACAATATAGTCACCGTCCCACCTGCCCCCATTCTCGAAGTGGTAACCCAGAAATACGCCGGGCTTGCTTGTGGGAGAGAACTTGCTGGGGCGCTGGTAGGATGATAAGCGTTGATCCATATCGGGTCCTTGGAGGGATCCAGATCGATCGTCATCTCCATCGTCGATCCACTCGAGATAACCATCATCATCGAATCCAACTTCGACTTCGACCAATCCATCATCTCCAGGCGCAGGTACGGCATATTCCTCACCATCGCCAAGTACGACTTCATCTTTCTGACTACGCCGGGTTTGTTTCCGTGCCGGCGTGGGATAGAAGTCAACAAGACATCCGAATGGGAGAACCTGGCCGTCAAATTCGGCACCATCAAATCGTAGCGAATACGCACTTTGTCCTTCGCGTAGCTCGATGTTGCGAGCATGACAAAAGTGCTTACACGCATAAGGCCAGAATTTGGCGCTCAGGCCCGCTTGTCGAAGCGCCACACGTGCGCCATGAAGGACAAGCTTCACCTTGCTCTCGGCAATGGCATTAGTGCGAGGCATGCCAGGAGTGGAATGCTTTACAGAGATGCCGACTCTTTTGCAGGTCGATATGAACTCACGGGCTTTATCACAGTAGATTTCCCGGATCGCGGAAGGTGCATACCTTCTCTCCACATCCATAGAGAACGAGTTCACATCCTGAAGGTCGCCGAAGACCTGCTGGAACGCTCGAAGCGTGTCGGCATTCGTCCTCCCCTTGACGGGAACACTCTCTAACCACTCAGTTGCTAGATCGTAGAAGACAACAGCATCTGTTTCCCCATTATTCCCGCGATTGCCAAGCCCGTGCAACACCATAGTATCGATGGTGACGTGCTCGCCAAATTTCTCAAACCCTTTATCGCGTGGTGAGTCTTGGCGAAACGATTTAACGTTTTCCATCTTTGCACGTTGGCATGCATCGCAGTAGGGATTCTTAGGTAGGTGAGTCATGAGGTGACGGATGGACTTTGCCTCCTCCCTCAGATCGCGCGCTCTCGGTTCATCGGGCGGCGACTGATGCTTAGGTTTGTTAGGCACCTTCTTGGCATCGTCAGGTGCACCTTTCTGGGCACTCTTAACACCAGGCATATCAAGATCGAGCTCTCCGATATCGTCTAGCTCGCCCACAGGTTCTTCACCCGCAGCCACGATTTTCTCGTGAATAATGATCGGTGCTGGGAGTGCCGGATACACACGAGGGAGATCAGGTCGACCCGCCACTACCTCGGTTTCGCTCGGAGCGAGGTAGGGGATGTTATTGATAACATCAATCTTGAGTTGTTTCCCTTTGGGGTCAAAGAATATCGGATCGCAAAAGGGTTCCCAGATAAATCGGTAGCCAAGCTCCTTGCATCGTTTCCCAAGGGAAAGAAGACTTGGTGTGCTTTCCAGCACATAAGCTTCAATCAGCTCATCGATGCCGTCAATGCGCATATGAGCAACACCTTTGGTGTTAGTTTTCCCATTGGCGGTCCTAAGGCTGATCTTAGCATTCTGAACTATCAGATCCCTTTCCTCGCGGGACAGATCACCGAGACCAATAAGGTCTATACCGCAACCGGAGTCGAGCATAAGTCTCCGGACCCTCTTAATAGACTTGACAGCAGCAGCAAAGACCTCGCAAGCGCTCCGCTGAGAAAGCGTGAGCTCAAGAACACAAGCATCATTTCCTAGCGTTTTGGCATCAACGTCATCGAGCAAAACCTGCTCTCTCCAAAGCACAGCCTTCATGTGTGCCCTTCGCCTCTCGCGAGCACTATTCAGACCACGGATATCTTCCGGCCACGAATAGTTCAAATTCCTCTCGCGATTGACGGGACCGAAGTTTGGCTCCGGGAAAGAAGACTCTATCACGCGGGTCTCCGTATTCCCAAACGATACTGTCTTCCGCTTGACTGACGGACATGCCATCATATCGAATGATGCAACGCAAGCGAAGGCGAAGTCTCCATAGGAGGATGCTGTCATTGCCTGAGGGTTGCGGCACGCCCCTTTCAAAAATCCGAGGGCGTGGGCGCCGGGCTGTCAACCCGCCTTGATGTCGGCGCGGGCTCAGCAGGCGCAGGAGCGGCGGCAGGGGTGCTCTCAGCTGGGGCACCCGGCTTCACATGCTTATAGGGACACTTGTCGCCTCTCGAGCAAGTGCCTCGTGCAAAATAGAAGCAGATACCAGACTCCTTTGAAATCGGTGACTGAGATCGAGGCGGGAAACCCTTTGACGAGGAGCTTCTTCCCTTCAGGTTGTGGGAGAACTTGCATCCGCTTCCTCGCGTGCATCTGCCTTTCTTGAAATCGTAGCAGATTTCCCGTCCTCGCGGGGATCGCGACATCGGGCGAGTCGGTGCGGGAGCTGCTCGTCCCGGACTGCGGGAATATCGCCTTGGCGATCCGCGTCGCGGGGAGGATCGTCTGGGTGACGAGCGCCTCGGCGAGCTCCTTCGGTACGGACTCCCTCTCCTGGAGTCACTTGACCCTCTTTGACCTCGGGATGAAGATCTGCGCGGGCTGCAATGCGCAGGTGCAGCGTATCGTCTCTGCGCAGAAGTAGACCTTGTAGCGGTGTACATCTTTTCCTGATTGCGTCGTCGGCGCCAAGTTGTAATCGCATTGACGCAGACGGCTCGCAAGTATGCGTAGTTCCGTACGGATACGTCCCTGTCCCATAGCTGCATGTCGAGCTCGAGACAGCGGAACTCACGCACCTGCTCGTAAAAGAGGGCGCAGAGAACAGGATCTTCGGGGCGATCGACTGAGATACCAGCGAGAACATGATCCCACCGATTGGAGAAGGCTTCCAGCCTTTCCTGCTCGGATCCATGAGTAAACCGATCAATCGTGGTCTTCATCAGGTCAACGAGCTTGAAAGTCGAATCGCCGGTGACATGTGGTCGAAGGAAATCATACAATAGCCACAAGATCTGCCTACTTCCGAGTCGCCGGTTTATCGTATGCATGCGCTCGGTCTCGGTCTGGATCTTATTCTTCAGTGCAATGGATCAGACGCACTCACGGAACGCAGAGTTGCATTCGTTTTCAAGCATTCCGTACTTGCACTCATCGAGGAGATCCTCATATCGTGTACCATCGGGAATCTCAACCCATGAGAGTGCGTATCCGGGATCGTAGGCGAATGCGTTCGCGACTCGCTCTTTCATATCGACGATCCAGCGTCGCAGCTGAGCAGGCTCCGGCTCGGGATCGAGACGAAAGGACTTGCACTTTGTCTTCTTGGCCTCGCTCAGCGATCCATCGCCCTTGGGTCCACCGAATCCCGGATCGTTGGGACCAGGTGGATTCCCAGTCTGTCTCTCAAGACACACGAGACAGATTCTCAAAGGATCTCGGCAACATCCGTTGCAGCACGAGAATCGGCAAGATATGCACGACCGTCGCACGGTGGTCGGGAAAGTTCCGGTGCAGCGCTCGCACTGGAACGTATCGTTCCCACTCGGCCGACCGGAGGGCCTGATGCTAGGCGGATCAAGGCCGCCATCGGGCGGACCACTCCCGTCAGGAGGGCCACCACCACCAGGCGGACCACCAGGTGGGCCGTCGGGTGGGCCACCACCGCCACCGGGGCCAAAACCGGACCCGTGGTGTCCATGTCCTCCGAAGCCACCGCCATACGCACCCCCGTTATCGTTGGGGCCATCACCACCGGAACAACCGCCGTCTCCCCGCCAAACCCGGATGGCGCGGCACTGGGTGCAGGAACGGACGTTCTGGCACTGAAGGTAGGCATCGGGGGCATGGCATCGTTGGCTGCAGCATGCTGAAGCGTCGCAGTAACGCTCGTGTTCGGCGCAAGGGTAAAAGTACCGGTCTCACTATGGAGAATTGGTGCGCCAGCACTGTTGCCAATGAGATTTGATCGGCCAAGCATCGCATCATACCATCGTGATGGTCCCTTCCCTGCCGGGACGGTTCGAGTATCATAGGAGATTTGGCATGGGAAGGTCGGGCTTGACCTGGGCTCAGGAGCGAAGCTTCGAGCTTCAGGGACATGTCGGATGTCAGCGCGAGGAGCATCATCGACTTGATATGGCCTGAGGCTCGGAGCCTGACCGGAAGTCGCTCCGGCGGCATTTGCGGAAGGAACGGCCTGATTCGGCGATCTTCCCGAAAAACACGCCGACGTTTGGCCAAAATTATGTCGGACGGGCTCAACAGGATTATTTTGCCCGCGACCTTCGGCAGGTTGTTCGTCAGCGACTCGTTGCTGCGCTCGCCTCAGAATTTCATCGAGATTGATTCCACTCGTCTGAGAGTGAACCGTTGAGGCCTTTTCAGCAGGCGCAGCGTTGCATCCCGGCGGAGAGCCGTGATCGATCGGACCCAACAGGGAAGACCTCGGAATGGCTGTAGTCGGTCCGCCAGGGAATAGAGCACCTGGAACTGGCGGCAGGTCCGCGGGGCGTGGAATATCCCCACCATGGTCACTGATATCGAAGAACTGCGTCCGTTCCGGACGCGAAGGCGTTGATCTATCAGAACCGCCTCTGCGGACATGAGCGTTTTCGAGGTGCTGGATCCGAGCAGTCAGCTGATCGATATGAGCTCGGTTACTCTCCTTATGATCGTAGAGAGCGCGACTCATCTCGGATCTGATGACTTCGATGCGGTGGGTAGCGTTCTGCTCCACCGCAGCAACGCGCGCTTCGGCATTAGAGATATTGATCTGAATCTGCCGCAGCGCGTCTGGGTACTGCTTGATGTGGCGGATCGTTTCGGCAAGCTGCATGGATAGCGACCCAGCACGCTTTTCGTTGAATTGATGGATCCGCTCATCGAACTCAATGAGTCGATCGTTGATCGTCGAAGTGAGCTTCGCAAAATGATCTTCAAGCGTTTCGTGATCAGAAATCCGCCTCTCGCGGAAAGAGTCCTGGAACTGCATGAACAGCTCACGCTCTTTCCTCAACTCGGCCTGAAGAAGCTCCCACATGTCTCGGATCTTGCTCTCGAGCGCTTCGGTGATATCCGAGACGCCGTTCCTCAGTATATCGAGGTCGGCTTGGGTGTTGGTCACACCCTGCGCGATCGCCAGAATATCGGTGGCGATGCGCGCGGATGCTTCCGACCCAATGGCTTCATCGACCAGGGCCCTGACAGCACAGGGTCCGGTATGCCACCCGCCGTTATCGATGGCGGGGGCGGCACCACCATGACCCGCCGCAGTAATCGTTGCGACGGAATCATGGGGTGCACCCGGATGCTCGCTCATGGGCTCGTCGGGGAGCGAGGCTCCACCGCGGCCAGCCACCGGCCCGTAGGAATCGGGGCGCGGTGGGCGGAAGGACGCCGGGTCCGAAATCGGTGGACCACGGCCGTCCGGCCCGGACCCAAAGAGGGCCCGAGCGCCCTCTGGATCCCCGCGAAGGGACAGAGGACAAGCTGAAAGATCGGTCGGAAGAAGGGTAGGTGCGGAAGCAGCAGGAGCAGCGGACGCAGAAAAGGCAGGCAACAAAGGCAAAGCACGAGCGGTGGCAGAAGCAGGCAGCATGCCGGCGGGCATCGTGCCAGGCGTTGCGAAAGCAGCAGCAGAGCATGGCAAAGGCGGCGCATGGTGCTGAGCTCTCTGATCGTCCTCAGCAGGCGGCGAAGCAAGCAGCGAAGCAGAGCGAGCGAGCGAAGCGTGCGAGGCGGGCGCAGTGCAGCGAGATGCGTGGGCACTATCATCGGGCTCCACGACATCCCGAGCAACTGGCGTCACTAGTGAAGAACCGACAGTCGAGGGGACACGGGGAGAACCGATCGGAGTCGCCATTCTCTCGGTGGCGCGGCCAATCACAAGTTCCGAACTTGGTCTGAGCCAGGAAAACGGTAGTGATCGGACGCTGATTGGATCAGGCGGTCCGAGTGCCAAGCAGCAGCAGCGAAGCAGCAATCCACAATCGGATGCGGAGGCCTTACGGCTGATAACCTGTGAAAAGCGGAGGATTCCACTCAACTCTCGGTCACAAAGCCCAAGGCAACCAATCGTAGATCAAGGCAAAGCAGCAAAGCAAAGCAAGGATGATCAGAGATTAAAACCGTAAGGTTGACGCTCAGGTAGAAGACAGGTCCTACAACCCCCAGGCTGTAAGCGGTCTTTTCCTGGGACTCGCAAAGCGGTCCTTGAGCAGTCAAGCTGCGTAGTGAGACAAAGTTGGCGTGAATCCTAACCAAGACACAGAAGCACATGTACGCATGTCCGTGACAAATCACACCCTGAAAGCAAGCAGCCTTTCTCTGCACTTCGACGGCGGAGCGACCCAAAGCCTGAGAGGAAAGCGCTTTTGGCATGCAACCATGAGTCTCGTCAAGAATCTTGAGAAGCTTGAGACCCCGGGCACAGGCATCGTTCGTGGCCGCATAGGTCTTCAGCCAACTGGGACAAGGCACAGCTTCCGGAAGCGGTGGAGCTGGGATCTGAAGCTTTTTCAGGCCTGTCCACATCCGCCGGGTCGGGGAGAACCTGTCACAACGGAGATCCCGATCCGCGACTCCTCTGCCGCTCCACCTGAAATTCAGCTTAAAGCATGTCCGAGATGCCGGAAGCTTGGCCTGCGAGATGGAAGACTACTACTGGCGGGAAAGCGAACACTACGCCGGGCCTTCACACGTCTACACCCTAGAACCGGATCGTTGGCAAGCTCGTGCTTCAAGGCCTCGTGGAACCTTGCTACCCGCTGCTGAGTCTTGTCCACTCTGCACTCAGCCATGACCTGACGATCTCGTGCCACCTCCTTCGTACTGTGTAGCCTCAGAGACATCATGAGACATCACAACAAACCGCAACTTCGCACAAGAGATCAGCTGGGCTGGTTGGTAGGCCCGGACACTTTGGCAAGCTTTCCCACCAGGGCCAAGGCTCCTGAACGTTGCTGACATATAGACCCAGCCCCCGCCGCTTCCTCCTGCACCCGTCTCCTCGAAGCCTCTGGGAGACTCAACACGAGGAGATTGGCTCCTGGCCCAGACTCAAAGGCTTAGGCTTGCTGCGGGCTCCTGGCGTGACCCGCCTCGGTGGAGGTCCACGGGGCGACGAAAGCGACCTGCACGGTCGCAGAACTCTCTCCGGAGCAAAACCCTTTCCGGGCCGCGCCTGCACGAAGATTGCTCCTTGGCCCGCAACCCGTCCCTACTAGTAGAAACCCCCGAAGTCTCCGTCTTTCGCGCGCGCGCTTCGAGGGATGCTTTTTTTCCCGAAGACCGGTGAATGCGACATAGAGCTGCTCCAAATATGCCATTCGTCCAAGTCAGAAAAACCTTTGGGTGTCTTGTGTCACGATACAAGAAAAACTCAAACTTCTTTCGAACTAGGCTGAAATTGTTACAATGCCCGCCAAGGAAGATGTCAGTCCTGAAGGGCTTGTCATCTAAATTCGCCCTGTAATTTGGCGATTCCGGTTCATCACATATCTTCTCGTGCGGTTCCAGTTCATCAGATATCTTAAACACGCGCCCGCATTCTGCGCTTATAGTTCCGTCATATATCTCAAACACGCCGCCTCATTGGGCCACTCTGGTTCATCATATATCTTAAACATGCTTCCTCATTAAGCGATCCCGGTTCATCACATGTCTTAGGCGATCCCGGTTCATCACATTTCTGAAACCCGCAGGGGTGGATGATCATAACGTGCGTTTTGACGCGGTGAGTCACAACCATATCCGCTGAGGACAACGTGTTGGTTTGCACTTCGGGTGGGTGTACACTTGAAGATCCTCGTAGTCGATCGTGTGAGCATGAAACCGAAGAAGTTGTCACTTCATAATTCACAAGACCCTCAACAGCGATGAAAATGACACAGATACCGCCAAAAAAGGCACAGATGACGCAGAAACCTTGTAGCAGGAAGCCATGCCCTGAGACATCACCCCAAAACGACAAAAAAGACACCGATACTGCCAAAAAAACAATAACGCCAAAAAAAGAACAATCACCCCCTTGCCGGATTATTTGGGTGGTATGCTTCCGACTGAGCCGCCAAGGACTTCTCAAGCTGCAAGGGCTTGGGCGAATCCGAAGTTCACAGCGATACTCCCCTTCGTGTCTTGCGAGTGCCGCTCGAGACTGCCGATGCGAATGCCCTGCGATGGTAAAGCAGGAAAGTCAGACGCTACTGAATTGCATGATGCTGGATCTTGTGCCTGCACTGAGCCGCCAGCTCCGTCCCAGCTACAGCGGATGATGTAGACGAAGTGTGGCGGCTTCGTGAAGATTTCTAGCAGTCAAATTTTCTGCACTCAGAACTGGGCTGCGGCTGCCCTGATCTGATGCTCGCCTGAGGATGTGCGAGTCCGCCGGTAGAGCCGTAGCTCTACCCTCTGGATCTTAGAAATGTCAGGCATTGCAAGTCAAAGCAATCCGCAACATGAGCTGAGCTCCTGACTCCGAGCTTAAGCTCTCGTCGTCGCAGAAACAGACTCTGGGTCGCCTCTCTTCCAAAGCATTCAGCTACCCGAAGCACAAGACGGTCGATCGGCCTCCTGTGATGCTGCTTCGCGCGTCTTCGACCGTTCCAGGCCATCGCTCTCGCTCATATCACGCAAGCTAGATTTTCGGATAGCACAAAGGAATATATCTCTGACTGACTGAAGACTACCTTTTCCATGGAAGACGGCCTTGCCGCTGCTCAAGAGTTCAAGAATCCCATCGTGCAGAATTGAGAGCAGACTTGTCGCTTCTACCCGAAGCCCCCATAGCTGCGTGCCCTTTTGCTGCCAATTGGCCAGTTGAGGGAGAACTGTGGTGTGGCACATTGTAGAGCATTCTGGCACATCCTTTTTCGAACTGATCCTTCAGGCACCCACATTACCTCATCCGTCTGGGCTGATACTTCAGCCTTGCGGTCCATCATCGTCTCAGCTCAAGCCACTGTGCCGGTGCTCTGGACGTCGAATGCATCCATCCAAGAACCGTCTGTGGCACGTTTGCTCGGGGAGGCGGCTCACATGTCGCGGAAGGGCGCCGTGCACTGCATTTCAGACGAACACGATCGAGGCCATACCCGACTAGATGGCTTGCGTACCACGATTTCGTACGTCGTCGCCACAGGGTCATATGAGTCATATCGTGCTGCCGAGACCTAGGAAGAGGCCCGCATCTCCTCTAGAAGCCTGTCCACGTCCTGCTCCAAGCTGTCAGCAGGCACCACTCGCGAGCGCTCCAGCCGTGCCTTCATGGCACACTCTCACCGTGCGCACTCGACCCGAGCTTCCATAAAACGTGCGAGGCAGCACCTTGTGCACAACCAGCCCTCTTCTCCGCACGACCTTCTGCCGCTCAGTGGCCACAAGGTCCTGCGGTCAAGATGCGCCCGTCAGCTTCCCGCTCATCCCGCTCCCATCCTCTCCTCCCGCGCCCATGGGGTGACCCGAAAGCAGCCGTTAAGGGTGAAGGCAGCGCGGGCCTGGAGGAATCAGTCTCACAAGAGCACCTACAGTAATACCTAGTCCGGCCTCGTCGACCAGCAGAGGCAGGTCGGACTGGAAGAGCACCTCTGCCGACAGCAAGCCCCTGGCCCTGGAACAGTTTTTGTTAAAGCCTTTTCTGCGCCAGGGCCTCAGCCTCTGCAGGCAAGTGCTGCGCCAAGAGCTTCACAAGTGACCCGCAGACCACACGCCGATCTCGATCGGGGAGGAGCAAGTGTGGGTCTGGGAAGTTGATGCTCACCGTCTGCACCTTGCACAGAACTCGCAGAGTGTACTCCTTTTTCTTTCCCGAAGGTACTGTAGGAGGTCTCACTCGCTCACTCACTCACTCACTAACACACACGTACACACTCGCTCTCGCTCGCTCTCTCTCTCTCTCTCTCTCTCTCTCTCTCTCTCTCTTTGTACCGGGCGTGAGGGCAGAGCAGCTCCGGGCTCTAACCCTCGTGCGAGTCCGCACACCCGCGTTTCGCGGGAGTTCATGGTTCCCCAAGGGGATTTTCCCCTCCGGGCTCAGCTGTACTGTAACTTGGGGTTTAGGCACCTCCCCCGACTTGCGACAACAAAGGCACAGCTTAACAGCACGGTTGACAGGTGCAGTGTAAACGGTCAGCGGTATGGTGCCTCTCCCCTCCGGCTCTCCCCTCTTTCTCACACAAGCAAACACCTGCTCCAAACGAACTGTCTACAGAACTGAGGGCCGGGCCAACCTTCGCGAGCTGAGGTGTCACAAAACAACAGAGTAAGTTAGATATAGTGGTTCACATCCCCCGAGCTCTGGTTGGCAGTATGCTACTTGCTGAGCGTCATGTTCCCCCCTGAGAACCTTGGGTAGTGAGCATGTGTAGTTCGAGTGTACTTCCCCCGGTTCTCAGTAGGGTCCATGCCGTCCATAGAAGGCTGCTTGCAATCTACGACGCCTATGGCTCCCTCCGTCGTCGTCGTCTTGGCGAGGACTTCGGGAGCGCCCCCTCTCAGCTTCGTCACTTCGGTTGCTCCCCCCCATCGGTGGGGCATGCCATGGGATCGTTGTCCCCTCGCTCTCGGTCTGTGTCGGCAGCGGAACTGTGGCCATTTCTCCCGCTGCGTTCACTGCAGCTTGAAGACTGGGCGTCATGAGCGCCTCCATCTGCGCGGCACTGAGGATCCCCGACTGCTCGGCGGCGGTTACGTCCGGAATCGTCCCCTCCGTGGTGCCGTCGCGACGCTCCTCCGGGTTGCCGTTGGGGTTCTCGTCCGGCACGTTGTAGTTTGTTATGCCCCCATCTGGCGCTGGCGGTGTCTCACCGGTCTGGGTGCTTTCATGGACCGCGTGCACCCCTCCGAACGGGGCCTGTTGCCAGGCTTCTAGCGCTTGCAGCATCTCCACGATCTGCTAATTTTCACTCAAACACAAGCGCCTGCGGAGTACACAAGTCAGCACATTGGGCTCAAATGAATTACGGAGCTCGCACAAATAAAACAAGTACTCAAGTAAATACCGGCCAGGAAAACAAATGGAAAATACGTGTACATACAGTACGAGTACAAGGCGTGCAAAGTTTTGCACCCCGCCTAAAGCATGCCGAAGTCCAACTAAGGCTACTGCTTTCAAACACAACTTTGCGACTTCAAAAGCCACACTGTACGAGAGCTCTAAGCTGCTACACTAGGGCCGGTATGACAAAGAAACAAAAGGAGTACAACTAGCTTCAGTACAGCTCCGGACTGGGTTTCACTCGCGTGCACAAGCTCTGCCGAAGCGGTCGTTGGCTTGACCTACCGCTACCTACCGTCTTTGACACTAGAGACTACGAACGCATTTGCGCTGTCTGCCTACGGAAGTCGATGAAAGATGCAAGGCATCCCACACCAACTGTTGAATGCTTGACTCGGGCAAGCGGACCCGGCACAAGAGGTAAGAAGAGCAGAGGCTTCACACAAGTGATGCAAAAGTAAGCTGACTCGAAGCACGGCGCTGAGAGAGGCTGACGATTCATGCGGGATCATGCAAGCACAATTTGATAATCAAGAAAGTGTTTGCCCTGTACGCAAAACAGCCGAAGGAAGCCTACAACCAACGACTAAAAGTATTAGAACCTCCTAATTAAGGTCCAGCAGTGGCGGAATGCATCATCGCCATCACACGTGTCAGCAATGCACTCAAAGTGCACACATTCTCGGGTTTGCCAAAATGGCATGCGTCACAAGTATTGATGGTGCAAAATGCACCATATGCACATTCAAGAAAGCCATACAAGTATATGCTCAAGATCATCGGCACCTGAAGTTAACAGAAGGGTCCAGGACCCAGCAACATGAGCATCCAAGCTATAATACAGGTGGATATATACAAGATGCCCCATGGTATCAACACGCCGAGTGTTGACACCAAGAAAGCATCGCATCAAGAGCATTTCAAGTGGCCATCAAGAGAGGCTTTGCACATACATCATGCACCATCACTCAAGGATTGCATTTCTTGCATGCACGGAGTCCGCGGTTCTGTGCTTCGTGGCGCTCGTACGCCTTCACACGATCGCACCCATCAAGCTTAAAGCACCGGAGACGATGATAGCAGCGGCCCGTGTGCGACACCCACACGAGGCTCCCACGGTGGTTCATCCTCCGTGCCACGGCGATAGGGTACCCGTGCAGCTCGCGGAACGACTGCGTCGAAAGCTGCGAACTCATTGACTCTGCTGGTGTTCCAGGTGCTGATGCATGGTCAGCAGGAGGCACATGAGCCTGCACTGCATTCATCGCACCAGTGGGCGGTGCTGCTGACGAACTCGCGTCGGGATGAGGAGCATCCTCATCTTCGTACCTCGGACCTGGTCTGGTAGAAGCTTTGGACCTTGCACCTTTGCGTAGCGCGGACAAAACATGTGGAGGGCTATCATCACCATCAAAGTCGAAAGACAGAGGATTCGTAGGAGTCCCAGGCGCACCAACTCCAACATGCAAATTGAGCTGGCGATCAAACTGAAAGGAGACATGATCACGAGGGCCAGCGATCTGCACATTGACCTGGCCGCGATCAGATACCCTGCAGCACAAAGTGCGGATGCACAACACAAGCATCAGCATTGTCACGCACGCAAGGACCAAAGCATGGGGCTGCACAAGCATGTCGATGACAGACACGCCAGTGTCATCGCGGACCCACAGTCCCAAGAACCACACAAGGACCCGGTTAGCCCAGTCAGGAAGATCAGCTCCTGAGTCATCCAAGCCGTTGTCACCGTCAGCATCATCCGCAGCACGACTCAAGGCGCTCACAACAGCGATGACAATGGCCTGAATCATAGGCTTGCTCACGGACGCACTCGATGTGGAGCGGACGGCACGCACAGCGTCCTTCTTTGCTTGCTTGTAGCGTAGATCAGCAATCTCATCTTCTCCAACAAAGCACTCATGCACAGTATGCCAGCAACCGATGATGTGCAAAAGCATGAGCATGCGGCTCCGAGAAAGGCCTTTGGTGTTCAGGTCGGCCACATTGATCGACGTTGCAACTTTGCGAAGCATGATGATCTTATCCGCAACAAGCTGCTGAGTCCACAAGACTCGGACGCTCAAGTGCCTAACGCGGCCGACGCCGCTTCGCTCCATGATGCCTTTGGCAGCGCTGGCGTCGAGGAAGTGATGAATCTGGGGTGGCTCATCGTCGGCAATGAAAGCGAGCAGCTGCCGAACAAACAAAGCGTCACAAAGTGTAGACGTCGCCGCAAGCAATTCCGATTCCCCTGAGCTCAAAGCAATCACCCTTTGTGTACGGCTAGAGCTGTACAAAAGGCAACCTGCTACGAACACCATCCCTGAGCTAACCGATTTGCGAGAGCCGCGATGCGCCGCCCAGTTGGCGTCCGAAAAAGCTTCTAAGCACAGGATCGGCTGGCTCGGTCTCGGAATCTCGCCGGAAACTCCGTTGTAACAGTTTCTGCGATCAAGCAAGAGACCATGGTGTTGGCCTTCAAGAAGATACTTCAACAGATGCCTCAAAGCAGCCTGCGCATTGCGTGTTGGCGAAGTCATGTAGCTGCTCAACGCACGGATGGCACCCTGACACTCGATCAAATCCACTGCCAAGTACAAAAGAATGCCATTGGCACAGCGGAAAGCCTTTG